CCCCCCCCCCCAATTCTAGAAGTTAGTGGAAAAAATATCCTGTGGTGAGGATTAAAAAACAAATAAAAAAACCCCTGATGTCTAGCCCATGTGTTACTCCTAAGATTATTTTCTGTTTTTTTTAAAATATGTTTTTATTGATTTCAGAGAGAAGGGAGAGGGAGCGAGAGAGAAACATCAATGATGTCATTGATTGGCTGCCTCTTGTGTACCCCCTGTTGGGGATGGAGCCCATAACTGAGGAATGTGCCCTGAGTCGGAATTGAATTGTGACCTGCGGTTCATAGGTCGAGGCTCAACTACTGAGCCACGCTGGCTGGGCCCTAAGATTATTTTTACTTTGAAGTAATTATGGATTTACAGAAAAGTTGTAAAAATTACAGATATTCTCTTCACCCAGCTTCCCTTAATGTTAATACCTTGCTGACCGGTCACGACTATTCAAGTGTGGAAAAGTAGCTGGCCGCACCGACGAGTTCTGTCTTGAAATAGCTGGCCAGCAAGGTTTAACATCTTGCATAACCATACTGTAATGATCAAAACCAAGAAATTAACCTGGGTACCATACTGTTAACTAAATTACAGACTTTATTCAGATTTTACCAGTTTTTCTGCTATTGAATTTCTGTTCCTGGATTCAACCCAAGATTCCAAATCACATTTAATTGTGTCATTTTAGTCTCTCTCAGTCTGTGGCAGCTTCTTAGTTTTTCCTTGTTTTCTGTAACTGTTGATACTTTTGAAGAGTGCTAGTCAGGATTTGTAGGATGTCCCTCAATTTATGTTTGTCTGATGTTTTGTCGTGATTAGATTGAGATTCGGAATTTTTGGCAAGAATACCCCAAGTTATAGTCCCTTCTCAGTGTGTCATATCTGGGGCTACATAATATTAATACATCTTATTTTTGGTAATGTTAACCTTGGTCACTTGGATAAGGTATTGTTTACCAGATTTTTGCACTGTAATGTTGCTGTTTTCCCCTTTGTTATTAAAAATGTCTTGGGGGAGATATTTTGAGGTTAGGAACATATTGTTTCTCCTCAGATTTTTGCTCACCAGTTTAAGCATTCACTTGTGGATATTGCCTTTAGCAGTTACTTC